CCCCCCCCCCCGAAAATGTAAGTTACAATAAAAAGGTCCCCCCTCCATTTTGAGTGCCCAAGGGGGTGGTGATGTCGCGTCTTATTCCTAGTAGTAGGGCCAGGAGCTACTGGTAGCGGCCTTGCTACTAGTGGCGATGCCCTTTGTTACTAGTAGCGTCTTATTCCTAGTAGTAGGGCCAGGAGCTACTGGTAGCGGCCTTGCTACTAGTGGCGATGCCCTTTGTTACTAGTAGCGTCTTATTCCTAGTAGTAGGGCCAGGAGCTACTGGTAGCGGCCTTGCTACTAGTGGCGATGCCCTTTGTTACTAGTAGCGTCTTATTCCTCGTAGTAGGGCCAGGAGCTACTAGTAGCGTCCTTGCTACTGCCATCAAGGCACTGCATCAGCCTCGGCCATCACCGCCTCGCACGGGAACTTCCCACTGGCCGCCTCTCCGCTGAGCATCACTGCATCAGCCCCATCGAACCTCGCGCTGAAAACGTGGTGCACTGGAGTGAGACTGCGGAAGGATGTACAGTAACGGTGAAGGCTTTTTGGTGCACAAGTCCAGTTGTTTTCTTTTCCGTCACCCCGTCACCTTCTCCTAGGGGTTGTTGTGACCTGCATGTATTCTAACGAGCTTCCTCCAGCAATACGGACTCCAAAATAGAAGATAAGTTTATCGAGCAGTCTCAAAGCAGCCAACATCTGAATCTTGAGGGTTCCTGTTCGGACCATGACTACTGCTCTTCAACACGATTGGACTGGATGATCAATCATGAAGTCCTACCAGGAAACAAACATGTGTCTCGAACACGCCCAAGCAATGATAAACAATATATATATATGTACATATATATATATATAATTTCGGTTTGTATGTTGGAAACAATTACGGTGCCCACGTTTCGCGTTCCTGTTGAGTCTCTTTCAAGACCCCACCTGATTCCCTATGTTTACACTTTGACTCTTTAACTTTTCCTTTGGCAATTCAAGCACAGCAAACACAAAGGTGAATGAAGAGGAAAGGGGGATCAAAGGGCAATAGTCACTGCGTGGGTATCCCTATGAAGTTTTCGCTGGTACTTTTTGATTCGACAGAAGTGTGAAGGGGACGCAAAGCGACGTAACGGAAGCAGCCTCAAAAGTGTCTCGAGCTTAGGGGATTAGTAATTAAAGCTCTTTCAGGGTTCATGGTTGGATCATATGGCGCTTGCTCGGGCTGCTTGAAGTAAGAGGAAAACCAACTAGCACCACGGAGAGGATGAAGCGAAACCATCTGTCTGAATCACGGAGAAAACGGCTCTCTCCCTTACAATAGGGGATAATAAATGAGGAGGGACAAATCAGCCAGGTGGCACTGCATTTTGCAGGTCGCACACTTCAGACCGTGTGGGCACGGGATTTTCGATCATGCTCTCCTGAGCTTCAAGCGTTCAAATCAAGAAGCGCAAATCAACTGCCCCAAGCCACCAAACTGCTTATCCCTTTGATCTTTAAGGAAACTGGTAGGTGCATGTGAATGAATCATTTCTGCTCGAATTTCACGTCAAAAAGAGCTGGTCCATGCTGATCTGTGTCCAAACTGCCAAGCCCGCCCACTGCCCTTCTGTGGGAAGGCAGCTTCAGCCGCTTCAGCCCAGTGGCGACCATTTGGGTGGCATTGATGACAAAAAGTCCGGCCTTGGCGCCAAACATAAGAAGCCGCCAGGGTCACCAGAACGATGAACATGGGAGTGGCTGGGGCAAATACGCAACTCATTGCGGCAAAACCTTATTCTTGACATTCCTCAAGTTCTCTCACTTCCTACTTCTCTTCACAAAAAAAAGATTGCTTACAACTTAACTTATACCTCGAAGCTGTGTTCTGAAACATCCAAGGCCGAAAAATCCCTCAAGCTCAAGTCCACTGAAAGACGTCAAATAACATTCAGAATAAACAATGATTCACGGCCCGGTTCCCACGCCTTCTTGGCTCGGGCAATCAGCAGTTTCTGTGCGAAGGGCACACGCTCCAGCTCGAGCTCAACGCCCAGGTCACCCCTAGTGCTGTCGTTCGATTCTTGAGATTGTCAAAGAGTTGGAGTGAGGATTATTGACGCAAGCTTTTATCAAACATGTGTCCAAGCTAAGGTTCAGTCATCCAAATCCAAGTATTTAAACCTGAATGGCTAGGATTTCTGCTTACACATGCTGGTTCACATGTTAGTGCGGTTGAACGGTCCTGCAATACATACAACTCTCTGGAGTTTCCTCTTCAAAATCAAAGCCACGCCCCGTTGGAAATCCTGGTGGCACATGAACTTTCAGGCCCACAAATGGAGTGCATGGGACCGATCAAACAGGCCTCTCATTTTAGGCGCCTTGCTACCAGCATCTACCAGCAATGCGGCGCACCTTGCTACCATCAACGCCTGTGACTTCTCAATGATGCCCTCGATGTTGGTCAATGCTTGTGGCTTTTCGATCTTCGGGCAAATCTTCCTGGGCAAAGTCACAGCCGCAACCACCAAGTAGTGTCACACACGCTCGTCTGTCCTTTCCTGTTGAGCTGTGCTCAGCTGACGAACCTGTGATTGAATAGAACATGTAGCAGGAAACCTGTCAAGAACCAGCCAAGGCAACTTCCTGTTACGGAGCCATCCACTGTCCCACACTCCTCCCCACAGGTCCGAAAAGTCACCCTTCCTAGTGCCATGCGGCGGACGTTTGTCAGCTGGAACCTTCAAGCGATCCATGATGTCGATGAGCTCTTGCAGATCCTGACCCTTCTGAGCGAAAGACACCTGGGTAGCTGGCGTGTGGGCTGTGGTATTTACCAGCAGGACGCACAATGGATCCAATATTAGAGCTGCATGCCTTGAGGGTTGCGCCGCCCTTGAAGGACTTCGAAGAGCACACACCCTTCACAAATCTGAAAGTCATGTTCCGGAATTGCTTCGTGCAGCTCAAGATGCGCAAATGTACTCCACGGGAGGATCAAGTTGCAACAAATACTCGGCATCTTCGATGTCCTTGTCCAGACAGGCATCGCATCACAAAACACACACATGCCCCCCATTGGCATCCGTTCTATGCTTGAGAAATCCACCAACATTAAGCAGTAGACACTTGTTATATAAATGTCTGAATTCCGAATGACATAAGTAAGGTAGTCCTCCATGAACACTTTAACCCTGTGCCACCCGACAAACATCCACGCCTTTGTGGTGAGGGCAGCGCAATCGATCTCACAATCGGGCACATTCACGCCCTTGCGAGCCTGGGGATCACACAAAAGCATTGCAGAACGGACATGGTGATGTCATGCAGAAACTCCAAAGATCAGGTCTTTGAGTTTCCACGAATTTCTGTGCAAATCTCTACATACAAAACAAGGAAAAGTTTCAGTCTAGAGTGTTCTTGCGCGGGGGATCTTTAAGAACCCCTTGCAGCGTGACTTGGTGACATGGTTGTTTGATGGATTTGGCCTTCAGCTTTCCTCCACGGATGATCTTCACCTTCAACTCCTGCAAAGTGGGCATTGCATGCGACCGAGGCAAAGCCATGCTCTTCGCAACATGTTGCCCTCGCAAAAACATGTACGACATGTACACAAACAGTATATATATATATGCATATAGTACTACATACACGTTCGCTCCTCGTGCCTTCTTCAGTCTCACGGACAGACTCGAATCGATCCATCAACACACTGGTGCACTCAAGCCTACTGGTTCAAACAACCATGGAGTCTCTTCTGCCAGCAACCCTATTCCCCCAGCCCAGTGAGGCGCCGTGTCGGAAATCTTCTCCACTACGTTGACCTGCAGTCGGAACATGCTGGACGGTCCGACGATACAGGTCGCAACTGAGCCAATATCCCTGCCTTCATAATGCCATCTTCGATCAGCAAATCCTCGGCTGGTCTAGCGGCTCGGTTGCGGGCCCTCATTCAGATTTGACCGGCCGCGCGATGCTGCACGCTTGGGGCTTTTAGACTTTTTTATCCACAGCCATCTGAGAGGATGACAAACGTGAACACGTTGTCACCCGTCACAACTCGGAAAGCAGTGAACCCATGTCATGTGAACCCCTTCTTTCCCCAACATCCAACTACCAAAGATTTGCAGCCCATCACCCCCAGTAGCCCAGACCCCACGTATCTTCTCACCACGGTGATAACAACCATAAAATTCAAATGCCAAGAGTCAATCCCAACCTTGCAAGCCTTCACAAGTGCCAGCTGCTCAGTGGTGGGTTTCATGGTGATGCGGCCCGGCTTGATGAGGTCATTGTCATCCTACAGTAGAGGTGAAGATTCAGCATAGGCTCCGTCCCATGCATTTTCAGAAAGACGTGAGTCATGTGAGAATGGAAGCCAGGGATGTGGAGCTTGATCAAGTCAGATTTCGACTTTATCTCCCGTGTGATGTCCCTCTCTCATCTCCCATTCTGCACTTCCTCATGAACGGCCCTGTCCTTGCAAATGCCAAATTCCACAACCTCGCCTTCCTTCAACGGCACTGGCTCACCCTCCAATTCCCCCACACGGAACTTGGGGCCCTGCGCTGCTTCATTGTGTCGCATCATTGAAAACTTGCCATATCAAATACATGTATATAACAATGAATATAAAACATATATATAGTATTTTATTACTATTGTTATTGCTATATATATATATAATGTGTCTTTACTTGGCGGTTAGACTCCGTATATACTCCGTATCTTATGCCCTGGAATGTGCTCCACTACATCAACCTTTCGAATGTGAGAAAACACTAAAGCTATACTAAAGCGGGCGTCGTTCAACCAAGCAATGATCACCGCGGAGGGGCCTGCAGGTCTCCCAAGACTTCCACACGACGGCCCAGCATCTTCGAATACTTCCTGTCCACAATTCAACACTCAAGGCGAGACTGGGGATTCGGGGTTCGCATCAAAGCTAGATCTGTAAGGAGACATCAAGGTCAAGTCCAGAACTTCCAGGGGCTAAAGGAACAAGAAGCTAACTAGACTAGGGGCTCCTGGCCTTACTACTAGGAGCAAAGGACGCTACTAGGGGCATCTATGCGTTCGAGGTCAAGCCTGATCAATGGGTAGACGCGCTCGAAGTCGCCACCACGACGATGGGAGCAGTTCAAACGGAAAATGTCCTTGCCAAACGAGTCAAGAAACGGAGAGAACTGAGAGAACCATCTCCATAACAGTGAGCCGACTAGGATACTGTTCTAGATGGTTCTAGTATGTTCTAGTCATGTTTAGGCTTGTATGGGTTCCGTGTTTGATGCCATTCAGAAGGCCAAGTCCTCAAGGATCCGTACCGAATTCAACAATGGAAAGGAAAAACACCTGTTGGGGCACTCTGGGGCACATGGCAGTCCAATGGATAAGAAGCTTGACTAGGTAGATGATAATGTATATAATGTACTGTAAATATGTGTGTATAGGTATTTCGATCAATAGGTACACCTAGACCTACACTACATAGTTAAGCAAACCAAAGCACACAAAACATCCCGAAACTGGTTTGGTCGAGGAGAATTCATCCGTTTCAGTTCATGTCTTTTGTGGAGACACGCCAGGGTGCCAGAGTCATCTTTTTGCCAAGGTGCAGTTCCTGCTTCGATCATCTTGGGGATCATCTCCTCGCTCCAAGATGCGGGCCCCAGGCTGGCCACAACCTTTGTCTTGCCTCACTCCACGTGTTCATGAGACTTCGGGTGGTTCGAGATAGTTTAGACTGCACAGTGACTGCACTACCTGCAGTGAGTTGGGAGACTCCGCGTAAGGTCAGGACGTTTGCTGTGATCCAGCTCCTGAGTGAAGCTGAACGACTGCCAGGTCTTATGCTCAGCCTTACATGATCTTACATGGCACTTTTGCACTGGGCATGAGCACTGGAGACACAACTGCCAAACAAGCAATGGATTTCCACGAAGGGCAGCTTTTCCATGCGACCATGCGCCACCCACTGCGAAAACAATTGCCGTCCCAAAAGGCTTGTGTAGCTTGCCACTTGCACTAATCACTAATCAAACAAAAACTACAACAGACTTTCATTTGACCACTTCTCCCAAATACTTCTCTCCTTCCTCTTCCCCAGTTTCTGCTCTCCTGCGGCTTGAGGGCCATCTTGCAGTCGAGGACATTGGCGTTTGCGCCTCCCAATGGTGGCAATGTGTGTGTGTGTGGGTGGGTGTGTTTGAGGAGGCCAGCAAAACCCTATCCAATGCTGCCGCGCTGCTATATTTGTGCAGGATCAATGCCAGGGTGAACTTGACATACTCGGGGAACTTAATAAGGGAAACAGCCTTGGGATCCAATGAGTGACATGACATGACTGGTTAAGCGCCCACTCCACAGAGTTCTGGGCTTCACGAGGCCAAGCAACAGGCTCACCATCGCGGCCGCAGCCAGTGAATGCATAAACCGAGTCCTGCTGCAAAGACCACCCGTACCTGAGATGTTTGGATCCGTGATGAGGGCCCGAACATCCTTCAAGGTTCAGCAATAGCTTGCCCAAGAATGAAACACTTTGTCTACAGTATATAGTTTTTTAGAGCCATTATGCTTTGAGAGGGTCCCCTTCTCTTAATTGGCAAAATTCAAGACTACCGCGCTTGCCAAGGTGCTGGTTCTTGAGGATCGCCTGGGAAAACGCCTCGGGCAAAGCCTGCAGGTTGCTGGACTTCTGAAAAGGTCTGCTTGGTCTAGCATCCCGCATCCCAATGAATCTCTCCAAGGACAACACCTTTTTGAACATGTCGAAGTTTCGGATGCACTTGCAAACAGCCAACCCTCTGGTGCCTCCAGCAACGCTTTCCAAAGGTTGCAGCCTTCAAGCTTTTCACTCTGGAAAGCCTGAGCGTGCTTGGTGTCAGCTTCGATCATCACAATTGAAACCTGCCCTGTAACGGAAAGACACTGCATTGCTACAAGCTTTCCCAGAAGCTTTTGCGCCCAGCCAGTTGCAGTTTGCAGGTCAAACTCCGCTCATGCTGCTCAGAGACATCGTATTTCTTGAAAATGGTCCAGCACCTGATTGACCAAGCCAGCAAAGCAAAACGTAATGGAGTTCTTACACTCGCGGGCAGGATATATAAAAGGAACCAAACGAGCTACTGCACGCTTAAGGTGTAATTGGTTTAGAAAGGACTAGTTATGTGCAATACAAGTCAATGGTTGAAGTTAAGAATTGGCAGGAATTGCAGCCAACCGTCTAGAAAGGCCCAAGTGTGGCTGACAAGGCACTCGTCCAGGAACTCCTCACAGGAATCAGAAATTGCTTGGGTGCATGGAGCTTTATGGAGCATATCCAAGCTCAATCGGAATCAGCGTGCCAGAACAAGACAAATCCCTCTCCTTTGCCTGCACTTTGCTCCGTACTGCCTTAGGCAGCCTGGGCGTTGCTGGAAATGCTGGTGAAATGTGCGCAAGGCTCCACATGGCTCCACAACAGGCCTGGGCACCCTCCACACTTAGCATATACCCCCTCGGACGACCACAAGCAACTACGAACACCACAAGCAACTACGAACACACTTGGTAGAAGCAAAAAAGGATCCTACCTTTGCGTCCATTGCGCATGCAGGAATATAATCATCCACAACAAACGCAAGCCCGGCACGCAGCCGGATCAGCCGGCTTTTTTTGCTCCACTTCACTCGTAGTACGGTGTCTCCATACCCCAAGAACGGGATGAAACCACTGTGCCTCTTGAGCAGCTTTCCCACGTTGATGTCCTCACGCTGGTACATGGCCTTAGCTTCACATCTGCAAGTGTGGATTTGACTTGTGCTCTACCCATTCCACGCCAGTCGGTCTAGACGTTTGGTGCATGAATATATTTTTTGCGATCCCAGTCGAGTCGATAGGTGCTTCAGCACTTCTGATATAGTGTGCATGTGTGTGTGAACGCATGTCTGATGTTTTGGAAGGAGCGGGGACTACATACAACTGGAATAGGCTGCCTGTGATGCACCATCTCAAGAGCACCAAATGCCAAGGGGCGAATGCTATGTCTCAGGTGAAGTCGACGCTTTCCCCGGCTTTATGAATTGCCCGAAAATGTTCTGAAAGAGCCAACAAGGCATGCGTGGGACATTGAATTGAAAAAGCCAGAGCACGGCTCGTGAATGAGCATGTCATGCCAGTCAGGCCATGATCTCAAATGGTGCCAACAAAATCAGAGAATGTTATATACAAGTAGAAAGTGCTGGCGATCAAACAGTGTCCCAAAGAACTACACTAGGCCACCCGAAGATATTGACAGCGATTCTGTGCCATGACAGCCATTGACAATCCCCTTGCATTGCCCATCACACCTGATGTCTTGCCATCGGGCTGCACCTTGGACACCAACCCTTGGCCACCCAGCTCGAGTCCTTTGATGCAGCATCCTATCATCACATGTCCCCGTCTCCTAAGAGTCTCCTTCAGGCTCTACATCTGACATGCAGCCATCATTAACATTCATCAAACATCTATGATTCCATGACAATCCCTGATGATCAACTACACCAAGAACCTCCCACCTATCACCAATTCACAAAACACCCCCAGCGACGAGGCGGGGGCATCCGCGGCACGCGCGTCTGCCGGCCCGAGGCTGCGAAAAAATCAGCGGCATGAAAGGATGCCATCGGCATTGCAATGTTGGAGAATGACAAGCAGATAAACATATAAGCTAGTAGAAACAATAAGCTACTAGGAACAAGCGCATCGCTACTAGTAACAAGTGCCATACTAGTAGTAACAAGAAGCTAGTAGAAACAATAAGCTTATTTAGACAAAAATCATAAACTTCTGACCAGCCCAGGAAAATAAGTCCGAGAACGTTGCTGAGAAGCTTGTCCCACCACATCTTCGAATAGTGGGCAGGACTGGTCGGACTAGGTGACTGGGGTAGAAGCCAGCAGTTTTTCTATGTGTTTCTTGACGCTGGCCTCTCATCTAGGTGCCTTGCACCGCAAGTGTTCCCTTCAGGACACTGTGCAGGCAGGGCACAGTGGGTGGCCAAAGGTATATATGTACAAGGGCACATTGTATGCAAATATCCGTAAAGTATGAACATCGGCATACAAAGAGTAACAGCAAAGCTTGCAATTCTAGGCATTCTTCGCATGGCGAAGCTCCTGCGCTTGTCCTGCCACAACGGTTGCCCAATGCGATCTGCATTGGATTTCTTGTGAGTCATTCCCCTCACCCCTGTTTGCAAGTGTTGGCTGCTGTTCAGTGCCTTCACAAGACTCCTCCCATGGCAGCACATAATCATCAACCATCCCCGGGCCATCCCCCCCCTAAAAAGGAACGGCTGTGAGGCTGTGTTACTCCATATTCCGCATCTCACCCCACGTTGAAGGCTTACCGTCTTAAGCTCACAGTCCGGGCCTCCGGGATTAGGAGTCAACAGCCAAGAACATGAGACAGGTCTCTGTATTCAGAAAGGCCTTGCGCTTCAGGGCTGATGACATTGCACATACATCTCCGTCTTTACAAATTGCAAGAAACTGAAGCGTCTTGTGGATGTTCTCTGTGACGACGGCGCGTGTTGACTCATTGGTTATATAATGTTGATTTGTTGGCTCAACTGACGGATGCTGATGGGGCTCGTTCTGGCATACAGTAGACGGGGCAGCCATGTCTCATGCAGATCAATCAACAGTTCAAACAAGCCTCGATTGGGACAATGTGAAGCAAAGTCCTAAACACAGTAACTCCAATCTTTAAGATTTGGAACTCTGACCTTCAGTCCCAGAGTCTCTTCATACATAATTATCTATATACACAAAACGCCAAACGCTGCTATCGCTCTGGTGCCTGAAAGAAGGGCAAGGCTTGCGTAGCTGATGAAGGTGATGCTTCGGCCAGCTTGGCCTGCACACCGAACCGAACTTTCCGACTATCCGACATGGATACCATCGTACACTACAACTTGTACACCCTCGAACAAAGGTAAAAATTGACGAAACTCACTGCCTTCTGAAGGACTACTTCCTTTGGTGCAACAATTGCTTGAAGGCGCATTGAAGCACAAAGGGCCTGGTGGGTCTGACCCAGCATATTAACATGTTGAAAACAACCCGCCTGGGCTATCAAGCCAAGAAGCCCAAAATATTATGTATATTATATACACACATATATATAAATATATATACACACCGTTATACACCGTATATGTATGTATATGTATCATTAGTATTAATTGGTTAGCATCCCTTGATGAAATGACTACCATGATATACAGAATGTTCGTCTAACTCGGCCGGCCTTTTGCTTAACTTTGAGGCTATTATATATATATATTATATATGTTCTTTTGTATTTACTTGGGTGCTTGCTCGTCACGCGGCAGCAACGGAACCCAAGAAGTGCCCGAACTTGCCACATAAATTTTGGTTTGCTGACTGTGTCCACTATGTCAGGCTATATATGTATATATATGTTAAACCCATTTCAGAGAGACAAGGCCGTTGCATTTGAACACCAACCATCAAGCAGGGTTCTCTAGCACCATTGTTTCGCTTGCATCTCCCTCTCTCTCTCTCTATGACAGGGTGCACTCAGCTTTCAGGCATCCAGCGGCTCGCCAAACAAAATAACAGCACATACTAAAATACAATAGAGCTATGCCCCCCAGAGCATTTGCATTTTTTCCCTTCTGCTTCGACATGCAGGTTTGTCGGTTGCCCATTGTGGGATCAGATCCAAACAATTCATCTCATGAGAAATGGCCATGCGCGAGATTTATGAGTTTCTCCTGGTTCACTCATCTGACCCCGGACAACTCACCCTCTAGAGACGGCAGCAAAACGCGGTCGGAAAGGATGCCGGCATGTGCCGAGACACGGGGTAAGTTTAAGCCTCAGATGTGCATGGCAAGTCTCACATGAATGTCATAATGATCACAATGTAGTAATGTGATCTTGATTCTCATGGTTTTTTAGGACCCCCCTTTCTGGCCCAAACCCACTGATGTCATCTTAGGACCCTGGTTGATGCCATGGTTGTGACATGCAGGAAGATCTCTCAAAACGCAGCGCCCTGTCTTTCTGCAGCCAAGCAGCACTCATGTGCCGGAAGGGACGGCCGGTTCGGATGCCGGTACGGCCATCACATCCTCCACCCCGAACTGGGACTCACCAGCCAGCACCGGGTGCCGGTAGGCAAACCACAGCACGGTTGTGGCAACATGGCAGGACCCCCTGCTAGTTTCCAGGGGGTGCCCCATGCATAGATTGCCGCAACACTGTACCAGGTCAAATGGATGCATCCACCTGACGGGGGGACCTCGCAGGCCCCGCCTTAGCTTTGGGGGCGGTGTCTTGAACTGAAAATGAGTGCATGGCTACATGAGGCTGCATGCTGCTGCAGGTGGCCTCAGACCCGAGCACGAAGGTCCGTCGACCAGTTGTCATTTAAACTGGCTCAGCTCAGGGTCCTAGTCAGTGCTCGCCGCGTGTTCAATAAGATCAATATAGATCAATCAGTGTCAACCACGTGGAGTTGCATGTTGTTCTTTACAGTGTTGGCAACACATGTAATTTGTTTGTGGAAGAGCGGCTTGCACTGCCCATTGCACTCCTATTGTTCGCACCCCTGCTAAGGACAACCAAAAAAAGACAATCAGTGCAGATTGCAGAAATCTACCAGGAGAAGTGGAGAGCAGCAAAGACATGATCTACAAATACCATTCAACATCATTCGACTAAACTGCCGTTCTGCATGGATGTTATTGGATGATAGGAGAAAATCTCAGAAGCAACCGGGGGGAAGGAAGAAATTGTGCGAGAAGCAGGCTGACCTCAAAAGCAAGCAGCTCCAGGCTGGTCCTGGATCAGAGCGCCGAGCGGTGCCTGGGGTGAATCGTGCTGTACATGGAGTCTCTTACCCCGGCCTCCCATCGCCGAGCGAGGTCGGCAGTGTTTCCCCAGAATTCGGAACGAAAAACTTGTTGCAGGCCACAGTTGGTGTGTGTGTTTGTGGAATCTCCGAATCGGTTGCATGTCCGCTATCTGTGGCTCGCACGACAAGTGAATATCAATATTTTAAAATATATTTCGATTTTGCTCCACAGCTTTGCACTACAATAAGCAAAGAGGATCAAAGAGGATCAAAAGCATCCTGTGAAAGTATCCCTGAAAATGGAAACGGCTGTGAAGCATAATCGCCAACAAGCATTGCAGACCAGTTCTGTCCAACAAGCTGTTTCAAGAGCGACATCGCGCATGTTGAAAGAATCAATTGAAGCAACTCGGGCTTCCCGGAGTAAAAAGGCAGGTGATTGTCTTGTGGTTCAAGGAACGTTGAGGATACACCAAAACAACTCTACGCGAGATGTCTGCCGTGGGCGAGGCAAGTCGAGTATACTGAGACCATTGGGCCGCTTACGCTGAACAGGTCTGCCGTGCAGGACTTCACAACAGAAAAGCTGCATGAATTGCATGATGCATGAAAACAATGAGAACCAGCACCAATCCGTAAAGGCCATGCAAACTTTGAGAGAGCAACTAGGGATCCAGCGCCGCCAAAGAACGATTTACTGCAATATTAACATGTTTTAAACTGCGGATCTTGGACACATTAGTTTCAAAGACCTGAAGACATGCGTGGGACGTTGTGACATTGGACAATAGAGCCGCGTTCAAAGGAATGAATCATGTGGATGCAGTGCTTCTTGTTAATAGTAGCTTCTAGCTACTAGTAGTAATGCCCTGTTCCTAGTAGCGATGCAGTGCTTCTGTGATCTTCCACATGCATGACGGACCCACAACGTCATTTCGCATCAGCCCAATGATTCGGCCCGTGCAATTCGCCACAGACCAGCACAATCATGTTGCAACATGTGGCAGCGCGTTAGCTAACTGACTTAGCAGCATTCTACATCCTCTACTTCAACCTGAGTTCAACCTCCTTAGCCTTTGCTCAAATCCAGCCTCTTGAAATGTACAACATGGTCATGTGCCGATCTACTTCGCCTTGATTCCTGCCCAGGTGCCAGTCTAGCTTCTCAAACACTCGTTGCCGAGTGTTTGCCCTAAACGCTGGCGGAGCCGACTGTTTCTCAATCAGCTATATACAAAAACACTCAGTCACAACAAGCAGCTGGCTGACCCTCAATCCTCACTACATCCTGACCGGCTGCGAAGATTCTGCACTTTCACAACACCAGCATCCAGGTTTTAGTCAACTGGCAGCCACCCCAAGCGTTGAGCAGAAACCCATGCGGAGGGCGATATGCAAAAACATGAAACGTGACAGCTCCATTTCCACAATGAAAAAGAGCCACGGACTTGAGAGTTCTCATGGGCTCTACATTACACGTCTTTGAAAAGAGGTATATATATATATAAGAATAACCACCGAACCCTTGCAGCAAAAGCACACTTCGTAGTATCCTCAAAGCTTCCCTCAAATCTCGCTGGCACGTTTGAACGGAAGATGCATGATCCACTCAGTACACTCTTCTTACTCCTGAATCGCCTGGCGCAAAGTTGCGATCAAACGTGATGAAGGACCCCAAAGGTTGTTCAATGACTTACCTTTCGATTCAGCTTGCGAACGCAAAAACCATAGTTATAGTCGCCATGATACTCATACACAGGTATGCGGTATGCGTCTGTCGAATGGGGTTCACTTGATCATCCTTGTTACCAGCGAGCATTCACCGCGGCCAAGACCAGACTAACAAGCCAACAAATACCATGGCGCCCATGCTGACCCTCACCAATGAGGATTACCTATAGCCCAACCAGGAAATCGCACTGATCTCAAATCAGTGATTCACCATTTTCACTTGCTACCAATCAATTCTCTTTCATCTACAGACCTAGTTAGTCTATGCAGTGATCATGTCCCAACTCAAAACGGTTTCTTCAAGAAAGTATATATTGAAGGAGAATCGCCTCCCAAACAGCATTCGACTCATTCGACCCAAGCTCAGGTTCAGAGGAGATCCCTCTTGAGATGCTGCTACCCTTGGCGGATCTCGGCTCACAGATCCATGCTAAGCTGCTAAGCTGCTAAACCTCCCCAGAACGTCCGGCCTCAAGGGTTCGCATCGTGGCTGTACGCCCGAGACGTCCACAGCGCCCAAGACAGGCCATCTTTACCCAGCCCTCCTGGCCAAAGGAAAGTGATTCAGTGGAAGCCCATAAACCAAATGCTACATGACATACTATGATCACGCAGGAATATGGCCCAAACTCAGGAAAAAAGTAAACCTGAAATCAGGAACCCCCGAGCCACTAGCCACTAGCCTAGAATACTGTTGGGAGAGGTCGTGTTGCCTCAAGTGATGTCGCTCCAGTTCTACCACACACACAGACATATGACATATATATATATATGTGTATATATATATATAGTGTGCATCCTAAAGTCCTCCCGTCTCTCCCAGTCCTACACGGAACTCTACTACTGGCCAGCGGAGATCTAAACTAGTCCATTCGACTTCTGCCAAAGCCCACTGCATCGGCTAACGATGTTCTGCCCACAGCTTTCCGCTCACAAGTGAGCATTGGTGTCGTTGAGCAACACTTCAACCATTGCAAATGGGAGACACTTCACACGAGCAGCAGCATGATTTTCATAGTGTCAAAGAATGTGGCTGGTACGGGTTACTTTTGTCTTGGACCACTTGGCGTGCTCTGAGTGCTCCTTGTCAAAGGCGGAGAGCTTTTGTAGCGCAGTCCTTGCTGCTTTCTCAACTGCCTGATTCCCAGGGTACCTGGCAAATGACTACACAGTAATCAGTAATTCATCAAAATCCCACCCCCCTCGAAAGCGTATTGATGGGCAAACCACCACGCCCCGTGTCTTGAAGTCCCGTTTGACTAACCAGGGCGAGAAACTCTGAAATCCAACAGAATCTTATCTCAGCACAATGCTGAGTAGCGGTTGTTGGCTGTAGGGCTAGCGCTCGCTAGATTTTTGGACTGGTTTGGGCTACCTGTTTCTCTGAACAACGCTCCCGATTTTCTACTGTACATGACAATGATATGTGGGAAATCTGATCAGAGAATTCGCTCCCACTGTGGCTCCCACTCCCACTGGCTTGGCTACTATGACTCTGCTTTCACATGTCTTTTCTCCACACTGGCGCACTTCTCCACTGCCTTCAATGCGGCCTGGATGGCCGCCGAGAAGGTCGCCCTGTCCTTGCAGCTGGCCATGTGCTCTGCCAACTCCTCCGAAGAAATCATCCACTCTCGACCCTCGGACCTGCATACTACTGGTATATAGCAAGAAGCCACCAGTACTAGTATATAAGGGTTCAGTCTTGTTTTGGCCTGTTCAATTTGGCCTCCATCTGTGTCCGAGGCTGTTTCTATTATTTCTATTGGCAGTTGCCAAGAGAAATAGCGGCTGCGGCTGTCGCCACTTGTCTTACAGCAAAAACCAGAATAGTGAAGCGGTATGGAATTATGAAAGGTACAAAAAATGAATCCAGACTAAACGGAATATTTCAACAAAAGATATAAGACTGTAACGATAACAATTAGATACAATAAGTAATCATAAATGTATAAAAGGGTTGGTTCGGCGTGATTTATTTCTCAAGGTTTTCCTCAAGCGGGTGAGGTGGTGTTTGCCAGCAGGTCTTTCAATCCATGTCATTGAAACTGAAACATCTTCAAGGCTGGCCAAGTTGGCTCCTTCAAGAGCCAGCAGCCGGCTTCTTGCACGCGGGCCTCCAATCGATGTGCCTCGAGCGCCTCCAACACGCAGCGGCAGCTCAGAGGGTGAATGCCCATCAAAGCTGGAGTGGTTGATTCATTACGGAAGCTAAAGGCTGGTTGAACATCCACATGTGGAACAACTTTGTTACTTTTGGTTGGCATTGGACCGACGTCAGATGGATGGCGCCGGCGGCTTTCCTTCTGGGTGTGAAATGAGCTGAATGAGAGGAAGAGAGTGGGACGTAGAGAGGGAGAAACTCTTGCAAGGGCCTTGAGCGCTGCTCTAGCGGCACCATAGGCATAGACCTCTGACCGCATCTCTGCATTGTGCACGCAGAGGCAGAACCTCATCTGATAAGAAGGCCCCACATCCGACCGGTTCGTGTGTCCTGAAGGAAGGGGGTTTTCTTTGAAGGGGTGTGTCTTCTCCAATTCTCATCGGTTCTGCCGATGTGAACAAAATGGGCAAAATACTGACGAGGTCAGTGACAGTGTTATAAATAGCAATCAGTGGTCAATCTCAAACTGAGTGGCAGTGTCCAGCATCCCGCCCACTGCATCAGGGCGTGGTCCTTGTGCGCCGACATTGCATCCATGACTACCTGGAGAGTTGGAGAGGGTCGCCAGCTATATTAACCGACCTCCGTAGGATTTTCCACACACTACGTCACTAGGTACCCTTGGAAAGAGATTCTATTTAGCCACCTGGCAAAACAAACAAGGTTAGCCCTCTCAAATCCGCATGGCACGAATCACCATATTATGAGGGTACATGAGGGAAAAAAAGGATCGACCCAGCACCACTCAAACCGATGAAGAGATGCAAAGCATAAGCCAAATGCTATAGAAACAGACGGTGCAAATGTTGCCGCCCCAAAGATTCGGCAATACCCGGCCTGGATGCCCCCGCGGGACACCACGGCTTGCTGCTGTTGACTGTTGCAGGCCGCTAAATTCCGCAGGACGCCACAACCCATGACCTGGCCGGTCCCATGGACCGAAAGTACGGCTCAGGTCCAAGCGGTTTATTGTACGGCTGATCTTGGCAGCCTTGCCAAGTAAAGCCCAATCTCACAGTAAGTGTATGTAAGTGTCCTTTTTGAAAGTCCACCAGTTCCCAGAGTCCCCATCCGCCTCGACTGCACAATGTAAAAATAACGACTGTACCCTGTTTTCGAGCAACCGACTCCTCTTCTGCCGACCCGCTTGCAGTCATCACCCGTTTTCTTCATGATATAATTGTTGTGTTGGGATCCTTATCTGCACAGTGCATTAAAGCTTGCCGTGCTCGGTGGATGCCAATCATCAAAAAAAAGCGCCCTGTGCGACACTTAGCAACCGTTAGAGTCTATAGATGTTGCGGAGTTGCGGGGCTTCCATGTCTAACAGCTTATCTCATCTTATCTCTCGGTCTGATTTCCTCCTCTTCCAATCAAATACACCTTCCATTGGAACTTCATAATCCTCCCAGCCTGGAGATTTGGAAGCTCCGGGTAAGACTCCATAGCTCGGAGCACCACCTGGATTCCCCCCGCGCACGTAGATGTCCTCCTGGCCTTACACATTCGCCGATACCGCTGGTGTTTTCGCTGATGGTTTCACATGCACAACTAATTGACTTTGACATATGGGAACTGTATGATCTTGACGAAACGGTGGAACCATCCAATTTGGAGGGCTGTGAAATATGTTGTCTGTTTTGCTTTCAGACAAAATTGGGCGTGTCATTTGTGCGCGGGCGCCCGCTCGTCGGATTGGCTTCACGTCCGGGCTGCTCTCAGCATTGAAGGCTGCAAACTCCTTCAAGGCCTGACATCCCAGCTCCTGGCGCAGGGCGCATTCAAGAATGATGATGAAAACTGCATAATTGATTGTATTTGAAGATACTTCTTGGCAATAATATTGGTATGTCTTACCTGTGGCCATCACAAATCTCGACATGTCTCCCCTGCACTTTCAACAATCCGGCCATTCAAACACCACAACAATTACAATATATGCTGTATATATATATATATACAATCAGAATCAATCAAATAATACACAGCATCGCATCTTTTCAAAAGTGTATGCAAGTCTGTAGGTGTAATCAATAAATATACATACATATAGATATATATATATATATGATATATGTATGTATATATATATCATCGAAGTGTCCGATCTGTCCCAGGCTCTTGAGGATCCACTGGTTTCATGGTTTCTTCAAAGTGGGTCATGGGTCGAGGGCCCGGTCGCCGCTTCTGTCATACCCGCGGCCTCTATCCCTATGTCAAAGCCCTATTCAATGCCTAAGTCACGCCTGAGTCTGAGTAGTGAACCCACTGTAAACGCAATACCAAACACAAACTGCACTGATTGCTAGGAATATTGATGCTGGGGAGTTACCCAACACTCGCCCACCTGAATGGTCGCAGAAGCACAATGCGCCCGCATGGCATCCAGCACTGCCTTGATCAAACACTGGAAAAGCTACACACTGTGCGCTCAGAAAAGGCACAGGTGGCTCCTAGTCACCACCATCCATCACATTAGAGATTTTCTCACCTGCCTGGTGTTTCCCTTCTCAGAGTCTGGACATAGCCTGAAAATGTCTGAAGGAAAGGATGTCAATTATTTGAGGTATTACCCACTAGGTCACCTGCTCAATGTTGTGGGATGCGAACGACACACGTTTTCTACGAGGATGGCACCTGAGCAGCTCCAGACTTGGCAACCTTCCTTAGTTGTCCGGAGTTGCCATGCGGTTGCACCTCAAGTGTCTGGTGGGTCTACCATTATTGGGATTTATCTGGAGGTCCTCCCATCGATGTTCCTGTGGGAAAGCTCCAAACAGCCATTTGTGTTGCTAGTAAACTGGTGAATGGCCGTATCCGGAGCAGATCACATGTGCAAAAGTGCTGGCAGGGGTCTCTTGGCAATGGGCATCGTGCTTTGCAACGTTGCACAGGATTTTGCACCCAGCTGCCTGCAAGTCTGCCTCACCAACAACGGATCTCTCCATTCCACGATGGCTCCCTGTCCATTACGTATACCTGGCTGTTAAGTTAAACCGACTGCTACATACAGATATAACATAACACGTATTACATTTCTATGAATTATGCATAAATCTGGACTGTGGAGCGTAGAAATCTACAAACATCTCGCTTGATGCCTAAAGTGGAAAGCACCACAGGGCGCCTTACTCAGACTCTGAGCCATAGCGTTGAGGATGGCATTGATGCCTTGCACATTGACCATGGCTTTGGTATGCGCAGGATCGCCCGAGGTCATCCTGGCCGTCTGCCGATCAGTGCTACAACACAAAGGACCCTCTCATGGCATGAGCACCCTGTACCAAAATTGCCTAATGAACAATTCAAAACCCTTTGTATACCCAATTGGCGGCATTCAATTTGACTCATTGTATGACACGAAAAGTGGCATTGCTGGCCCAGGCTCTTCTCCAGGATGTTCATGGCCGCCAGCTGTACTTCCATTTGATGCTGTTCCATCGCCTTTACCTGATCCAATTCGACAAGCGAGACAAATTGATGCGACAAAATGCAAGATGTGGGATGACGAAGTGTTTTGCTTCAAGGCCAAGCCGCAATCATAGCAATACCATCCAGCCTGGCCACCTCATGCCGTTTTGGGGTGACCCATGTCAACATGCATCATCTGCCGCGTTTGCCAACTTGAATCCAATTCAAATGCTGCAGGCGTTTGGGATGTCCAGCCTCAATGTGGCTCTTGGGATCTTCAACACAGAGGTTCAAGGCGTCGAATCCTGGCGACATAACAAGCTTCGACGCAGCTCTCGACTTCGTCATATGGGTGTTTGATGGTGGTTGTGTGCGTGTGCGAATGTACACCACAATGGAGAGAGCCCAGAACCAACACTTTGCCAGAACTCTTGTGCAGGTCCACGGGTGTCCCATACCGTCCCATCTTTACACAAACTACACCATGATGCCCTACACGCCTATTATGGCTATGAGATCGGAGTATCCTGCTCTTTGGAGCGAAATGACAAACATACACTTGGTATGGGTTTATTACGGTAGCAGGGTCCACTGATGAATGTGCCACCCCATCTAGCAGTGCAGCATCTAGCAAGCTTGGCTCCACAGGAAACCCGGCCTTTCTCCTGCACCTGTGGATTTCCCACAGACGCTTTCATCGCCTTGATGACGTCTTCAACGTCCATCCTTGACTTCGCTACAACAGAGGTGGGTGCCCCTTCAATACTGTACATGTCAGGCATGTCAGGCATGTCTCGCTGCAAATCGAGCATCTGAGAAAGGTCTGTGCCGTTGGCAGGGTCTTCATGGATTCGCCCTTAGATAAACAGTCGATCGGCTGAATGGGTGTTCCTTTGCATGTGCCTTTGCTTGCGGCAGATTGGTGCTGCTGGTGTCATTGAACCTTACACTTCTTACATTTGCAGTTTTCCGTCAAGGTGGAGAGCACGCAGTGCCCAACCCAGGAGGCAGATCCAATACCGACCAAGAACTCCTGCTAGTGGTCCTGTCTCCTTCCACAACCCATTACCATCTCTACCGATCACTCTTTGTTGCGAGGACAAAATGCCCACACTAAGTCCAAGGAGAAACTGCCATTTAAATTTCATAAATTTCATGAAAATTCCACATGCATTGAGCAAGCTCAACACCGCTGACACCACTTGAATCGGCTTCAAAACAGCCCTCATCAACCTCACCTTCCCAAGACCATGTTCTTCCAAAAACAGAAGTCTTCGCGCAGTCTTTCAGGCACAATGTAACGATGCAATGCCGCCTATGACCTCATGCCTCCCCAAGCTGCTGTAGTCCCTCATGCCTGATTGACCAGCTCCACTGCCCAGGCTCGGCCAGTTCGACGCGGCCTAGGTCGGTGGCGGCTGCGCCCGGCACGGCCGCACTTCTCGTGCCAAACGCCGACCTCGATGAGCCGGGCAAACGCCGACACTTGGCAAACCTCCCGTGAGTGGATGTGAGTCTGATGGCTAGTTAGTGGCTGGGTTGCTGGGTTGATGCCTATTCTCTTTGGCTTTGGATCGTCCTATGTCCTATGTTGGAGTGGGGCACAGAGCGAAGTGGCGGTTCTCGCGTTGAGCTTTGAACAAGAATCAGAAAAGATGCATTATTTAGGAGGGCCAGCCTGACAAAAGCCACCATGACTTTGCCAAGAGACTGGAAGGGTCTGAGTATTGATCGTAGATGTCTCTTGAATGAGATCCTGCACTGTCGCGCCCATGGTCTTGTGAATGTGTCCTTGCGCGTGTCGGCACAAGGCGACAACACACTACGATCTGATTCCGAGCACATGGCTCATCGATGTCGCTGGTGCCATCCTCCGGCTAGGACCCTGTCTTGATGATTGGTCAATGTTAACCTGCTACTTGGGGGCCATCTTACTGGCTTGGTCACATCAGCATCTCCCTCAACATGCCCAAAACTGCCTGAAACGGTGTTCACATGTGTTAACATGTGTTCACTATGTCCCGCATTGCTCTGCTCAATCCCCTTCTGCAGCTCCCTGCAGCTCTCAAGCCGGCCAAGGAACAGGTCTCTGCAAAGGCGAAGGCCAGGACTTGCTTCTCACTCGAGCCGCTTTTCGCTACACCAGAAGACCCGCGTCAAACGACGCGTGTGATCGGTGGGCCGGGCGGGTGCACGGTCTTTCGATGTCTCGCCCAGTGCGCCAACAGTGATCCAGGCAACACCATGATTTGCCAATCCAATTTGCACATCAAAGCGGGAATGTTAGAGGGGCCCAACCACGGAAAAGAATTGCGACAAAACAGCAACTTCAAATAGGAGATGGATAAAGCCTTCGACGTAGGCATGTTTTCCTGCTTTTGCAAAATGCTGAGGCGCCCCAAGTATCCCCATGTGACACCAAACGTTCTTCGCGGACCCTGTTCATCCACTTTGATGTCGGCTACTTGACATGGAGACTCGTGCCCCTAGCAGTCGCCAAGAGTTCTTGTGCTCTTGCACCATGCCACCTCCATCTGCTGTCTCCATCCAGAGGTGCCCAACTCCAGCTTCACCTCATGTGAATCATTGTACATTGTAAATCTGGCTTGGAACCTGCGAAACCCTACTTTGGAACCTTCTTGAGTTGAAGTTGGTTCGCTTGTTGATCATCTTAGCTGCCAATCATCTCAAACATCCTCAAACACAAACTGCACTCATGTTCAGAGGCAACTATACGGGTATTTCGAGATTGCAATGAGCAGAGTTCAGAGAAACACCCACCTCGTCGTGTGCGGCTGTGAGGTCTTCCGCTAGCGCCACCAGGGCACCCTGGATCTTCTTGGCCCTGGGCGTCCAATCCGATTGCAAAGGGCTAGGACCGCGATGGGTCTTATACAAGAAACATCAACAAACCCCTAACAAGCAGGCTCACCCACAGCCATGCCACTGGACACTGTGTTTCTTTTTGGGCAAGCCCCTGAGAACAAGACCAAGCCATTGCTTCTGTTGAATCCTTGCCAAGCCGCAGAAATAGGTGAAATAGCACAAATGCACTCACAAATGCATACGTGATCATAAATGGAATATGTGGAACTTGGTGTTGAAAAAGAAATGCCTGCCTTCACTGAGTCTTCGTCTTCAGACCTCAGTGTCACAAGTCAAGGACAGCTGACGTGGTGGGTTCTGGAGCACATGGCCCGCTCAACTTCGAAGCAAACTTGAGGAAATCAAAGTCGACAAATCTTCACATTTAAGCATCCCCTGAGTCCCCTGAGTTCAATCACCTTGTTCGTTCCATGGTGAGTTGTGTTTTGCATTGGTTTGTTTGCCTCACCGTCCGCTGGGCGCCAAACAATCTGCAACCAGCATGGCAATCCTGGCAAATCAACCAATCAGTCTCAGTGGGGCCATGAGGGGGAAGCTTGATGCCAGTTGCCATGACATGAGCGTCGATTCAAGACCACATGCCCACCTGTTGCACTGCCTCCAGGTGTGAAAGCTGAGGTCGTAGGAATGCATCTGACCTGGAAAAACAGGCCAGGAACAGCAGAGTCCAATGTTTAACAGGCTCGCAAAACTTCGGAATAGAATAGATACATTCATGATGAAAGCCCTGCTCCAATTCATCCGGCTGTTGTGCCAACTGCGCCATAAGTTCCAACAGCCGGACCAACCTCGCAAGCGACAGGGACGGAAACAACCGCAGCAACCCATTTACGCCAGGAGCGCTCCCAGCAATCACAAGCAGCCCTTGAGGCACGCAAAGCCATCGAAACTGCTTCGTGAGGCTCGATTTCCTTGCAAATCTAGCGTCAAGCCTTTACAAACGCAGCATGTCTCAAATAGTCGGCGAATTGCCGGATGCACAGTAGGCGGGATGTGGCACCATCTAAGGCTGCAAATTCCAAGGATTGAAGTCCTTGACTTCCAATAGAGTCGGCAAAGCCATCTGCAGCCTCTGTTGATGTGAGAAAATGTGTGTTTCCTTCCAGGTCCAGCTTCGAAAGACGCGAAGATTTCAGTAAAATGCCAATTGCACTCGTAGATTTCTCAGTCAGCTGGCATCTACTCAAACACAGGACCCGCAAATTCGGGCCCGTGGCAGCAGATGTGAGTGATGAGACAAGAGCATGAACTTCTTGGTCATTTCGGAGGTTCACATTGGCCAAATCGAGTTCGGCAATGGTGTGAACGCCTGCAAGTAAGTTTCGAAGGCCCGTGCGGCCCACTTCTGACAATCGAGGCTGGCAGTCAAAATTGAGATGCGGCTGCTTTGCTGTGAGAGATTCTGCCAAGTGATTCCGACCAATCAGTAACGCATTTCGGTAGAAGGGATCGTTCAAGTTGCAGCATAAAGAAAGGCGGTCACTCCAGAAATGGTTGTCCGATCCCAACGCCAAGGATCGAACAAAAAGAGCTTCTTGAAAGCTGAGATGGCTAAATTGAAACTCACCTGTCAAGTGGCCTAGGGTTAAGATCTTGACCAATGGAATATGTCCATCTTCCAGCAATTCGGACCACAGTGTCAATAACTGAGGCTTCTGTTGGAAGACCTCTTGGAGATCATCTACCTGGAACGTCCGCCGCTTGGCTTTGTGGTTGGCAACGGCTATCATTTCCAACATCTCAAGGGCAGTTGCAACTTGCTCCTGATCCAGCCGTCGTTGAAGAGTTGTAAGCATGCCCATCTCATAAAGCTCGTAGATGTCCGCTGGCAATCGCTGAACCTCCAACGCGAAAGCGCACGCCAAGACTGAGAGCAGGACAGGTATGCTGCAAATCTCCTCAAAGACATCCATCCGCGCCTCAAGCATGGCATCAAATGTGCCCTCTTCGGGCCTGCTGTGCGAAGAAGCACGCAAGGCGTTGCGCAAAAAGGCCAAATCGTCTTGTGCCGCTGAATGTCTGAAAGCAGCTAGACACCCACAATGATGGACTTGCACTTGTACAGGGTAAGATGTCTCTTGATAGACCAAGTAGAGTTTGCAGCTCACATAGCGCAGTCGAAGAAGCCCAGGGTTTTGAAACTTTGAGGCTACACCAGCTGCTTGGAGTTTGGCAGGTTCACCATCAACATGGGTTTGAAAATCTGAGGTCAAGGCCTTGATGACTTTCACAAAGGACTCGGAGGAAGGGCACACAAAGTCGGATTGAATCATCCCCGTCTTCTGGGAGTGCAAGCTCAAGCGACGTCTCATGTCCTTCGGGTTCCCAGCATCACCTTCCCGCAGCTCGAGTGGAAGTTGTAGTGCATTCGCATCTAGCCCTGCTTCACTCAGCAAGCGGACTGCAATGCAAAAAAAACACTGCTGTCAAAACTTCATGGTCAGGAGAGTGGGTGGACTGAGGAGCCGCTGTACCACACGTTGCTTGCAATGCCTTTTCGATCTGCTCAACTTGCTGCGGAGAGAAGCTGTCCTTGAAGGTCTTCTCCTGCTCTCTTCTGGCTCCATGAAAAGCCAACAAGTGTCTGAAGAAGTTGTTCTTCTGCAATTGCTTCTCGATGATTTTATGCTGCTGATCTTGGCCCAGTGGTTTCAGGTTCATGATGACAAAATCTCGAGAGTACAGCCTCTTGCGGATGCCTTCAGGTCGAGAAGTCACAAGCAAAGGCACGCCCATTGGCACCAGTGTCTTTGTGACGTAGTCCTCCACCGCCAGCTTCATGCTGGCTGCCTCGTCGATTCCATCGAGCATGACAATGAGACTACGCATTTCAAAGGCTTGCTCCAACAGCCTCCTCGTCCTTCCATCCGAAAATTCGGCTTGAATGTAGAAAAGAACCAAATTGGAAGGATAGCCTTCCTCAGAGTTGGCTTTTCGCAGCATTCGAGCCAGCTTCTGGATAGGAATCAGCAGGGGCACCAATCGCAGCTTGCTGTCTTTCTCTGGACGACTCAACTCGCTGGCTAAGAGAAACAGCAGCTGCTGCATCGACCACGTCTTTCCTGTCCCTGCCCCAGCCCGGATAAGGACGGGCTGTGAAGAATGAGCTCCATGGAGTCGACCCTGTAAGCGACATGGGTGCAAGAGCAACGGCACAATCTCCGCAATATCCTGGACTTTGGCAAAGCTACGGTCTTGGACCCCAGCAATAGCTTGCGCTCGTTTGATGGAGGAGGCATGCAATGCCGGAGAGGATGAGCCATCAGAGAACTTCACCATGTAGCGGTTGTGCTTTTGTAAATGCTCGATGGTGCCCTCACGTCCCTGCGCCCACACACGCTCTCCAAGGCGGAAGCTGCTATCTGAGACCCATTCGAGGTCATCAAAGGGCATGTGCCTGAGAGTTTCTGCGTCGCTTTGACGCCTCACCTGCATTTCCACTCGCACGATCTGCTCGGAAATGTCCACACGATTTCCAGTGATCGCATCCTCAATGTACCGACCGTCCTCCATGATCTGTCTGCAGTATGCCATGCGGGCTTCTTCAAATTCTTGAGCGCTCGAAAACCGTTGAAGGCTGTGGTTCATCTCGTTGAGGTCAAATTCCTGCCGTGTCCCGTTGTGCACGACGATGTGACGAAGCAAGTTCTGCTTTCTGGCAGACTCTTCCACTTCAGCATGAAGTAGATGTTCACCATCATGAAGGAGTAGGATCTGAATTCCTGGCGCCCTTGCAATTGAGCTTGCAGCAACCACCGTTCGCGGGCGTGGGTCTATGATCTCCTCCTCTCCATTGTCCACTTTCACTAGGACCTCCCCTGTTTCAAGCTGCTTGACCAAGGTGGCCACTCTGTCCTGCACTTTGATGGATGATGAAAGGCCCAAGCGAAGCCCAGGCTCCGAAGCAGCATAGGCTAGCTTGGTGGGCTTGACCCGCAACCGAACACTGGGCCCGGTTTTCCTGCCATGTGACCCATCTGCATCAGATCGATGCAGTAAGATCTCTGCCGTGCACATGCTCGCACTGTCCAAAATGCCAGCAGCATCCTGCCAACTGGTCTCAATCCATTGCAAGCGTCCATCAAAACCATCCTTCTCTGCGTTCAGAGCCCTAGCCTCATCCAAGGTCAGCAAATTTCCCAGCTTCATCCGCGAATCAGAATCAATCGACCCGTCCACCAAGTTGATGGGTCCAACCATATCACCAGATATGTCAGACAAAATGCCTTTGATATTGAATACAAAGGCACCTTCCCACCTAAATAGAAGTCGCAAACCAGGTTGCCCCTGCAAGGCCAAACGCTTTTGCTGGAGTTGCTCGGCTTCGTCCTGTGCTTCTGCCAAGTGTGATAGTGCTGGAGGTAAGGAATGCGCAAAAGACCATCGCCGCCAAGTCCGCGCGACGTCGCCTTCCTCTCCCACCAAGTTTGGCAAATGAATCGATGCCTCACAAGCTGGAGGCTTGTAACGTCCGTGCTTCACCAAGATGTGACTGGCAGAAACCGTGGTGGAAAGAATTCCTTTGCACTTTTTCCTGGCCATGATCAAATGATATCCGGCATCTGTTTCCACAGGCCCCAAGGGAACTCGAAGTTCCAGCTCCGGATCAAAGAGCACAGCCTCAATGGCCGGATGCATCTGACCTCTTTCGACCTCACCTAAATCACCCCCGTTTGATCTGGTGCCAGGACAAGCAGAGAAGGCCGTGGCGTTGTTGGAGAAATCCTCTGGGCTCTGGACCAAAGGGATCAGTGCAGCACAAAACTGCTGAGCGTCCAGCGGTCCCTCCATTGAAGCTTGCTCACTCTGCTCGGCCTCACCGGGAATGTGTAGACCCCACAAGACCTCAATGTGCTCTCTCTGGAAGGGTTCTTGACAGCAAAAGGCGGGTATGAAATAGTCATCCTTACCCTTGTTGACCATCAAGTCACCCGGCAGGAAAAGATTGTCCCACAACAAGCAAAAGTCAGCAGTCCTCATGGCTTTCATGCTGAGGAAGCTGAAAAGCTTCTCAAATTCGGCTTGGGCCGCATCCCGAAGTACTACCACCTCTCCAACATAAACAGCTGCCTTCTCCAGGTTATCTGCTTCGCCTTCTAGGTGGTCAGCCATCGAGCTGAGAGCCTCCTGTGCCGCTGCCAAATCTCTCTGCAGCTGGGAGACCTGCTCATCCAACGTCTCCAAGTCATGCACAACGGTCTTCTCCAGCCTGGCAGTGCCCATGGCATCTTTGGAGATCGCCTTTCGCACATTTTGGAAGCATGGCCGCAAGTCTTTGAAGAACTGTTCTGCTTGGCAGGGCATTTGCCTACAGAAGACCTCGAAGATGAAGTGGCGCAAGTCTTTGCCGTCAAAATCTTGAATCCCTTGCAGCTTACTCATCTCGCTCAAGTCAAAACCATCTGCCTGCCCTCTTGCTGTTCCTCCATTGAGGTAGTTCCCAGTCGCCAGGACCAGCGCCAGGAAATCTGGCAGAACCTCTGAACAAAGGAAACATTGTGCAACATCAAGAAGATCCTCCAAAGGTTTGGAACATGCTTCCAATGTCTTCGAGTAGCTTGCGACGAAGGATGTCAACACTACATGAGGTTCCTGTTGCAAACTTCGAGCTTCTTCAGGGTCCTTCAACGTCTCTGGATCCTTCACATTGGGCAAGGCCTCACCTTGGCTTTGCGTCGCACTGGGTTCATGCTGGAACTTGGCCTCCTTGGCCAATCTTTGCTCTTGAGCTTCCGCAACTGCTTTGGCTGAGAATCGAGGCAGTAATTCTGCCTGGGGGATGGGAGACGCCACTTGGGCCTGCACGGCATTCCAGACACTGTGACCACTTGACACCTCAATCTTTGTCCAGGGAAGCGGGATCAGCTGCAGCTGGCTCAGGTGGCTCGTACTTGGAGAAGCTTCTGCAGGCGAGCCTGCCGGCGATCGGGACAGCTGCCTCTGAAATGGAGGATCTCCTTCTTCTCCAAAGGTGCCATATGTCCGATCTAACTCCCAAATGGCTTGGAATTCTTGCACCCTAAAGGTCTCGCCCTGACAGAAAAGCTCCTCAAAGGTGTTGTTCTTGTATGCATCCTGGTGACGTGCCACAAGCAAATCAGGGGGGCAGCAAGAAGTTGTCCCACATGAGACAAAAATCGGCACTCCTCGTCTCGGTCATCTGGAGCCACTTCAAAAGCTCACCGAACTGCACTTTGAGAGCATCCCTTTGTTGACCCACAGCAGCCATAGATGCAGTAGCTGTAGTGAACTCTCGTTGCAAACGGCGCTTCACTGGATCAGTTGCATCAAGAGGCTCCAAGCATCGTTGGAGCTCGTCCTGCACTCTGCAGAGCTCTGCCTCCAACCCAGAGAGGGCCTCATCGCATTCTTCCAATGTCAAGTGAACCCCTTTGCTCACCTTTGCTTCGTCGTTCAGGACCTTCCGACTCACGTTCTGCAACATTGGGCTAAAAGCTTCAAGAAAATCAGCTGCTCGACTGTCTACTGAATCAAAGAACTCTGAGAAAATCCAATGCTGCAAACTTGAGTTATCAGCTCCTTTTACTTCATAGAGCTCTGGAAGCAGCTTGAGATCGAAGGCTGCGGCGTCTCCGTCCACAGTGCCTGAGTTCAGCCAGTTGCCCGTGGAGAGGATTGAATAAAGCAAAGCTGGGAGAGCCTCACAGTTCAAGAGGCTGGAAAACATATCGCTGAGATCCTGCAAGTGTTCAGTGTGATGCCTGACCCGTTCACGGTAGGTCCTCACGAAATGCCACGAAGCCATGCGCTCAGCACAGGCCGGGATCTGGGAAACTGCGAGCCAGTATTCTTCCATGCGACCCAGGCGAGCATGCGGCTGAAGCTCCATCGCACTTTTCAGAGCTTCTAGGTCCTTCATTGAGGCCGGCACATGCTGTTGAAGTCGTTCAAGCTCATCAAGCGCCAAGCAACGGTCATCCAAGTTCATCAGACTTTCTGCCACTTCCTTGGGTGGTGGCAGCAGCCGCAGCTCCCGGTCATGGGAGGCGTTGCTGACTCGAATCACCGGGATGGTCTCTAATTCAGCTGCCTGAGAGCATGGCTTCGCAGGCTGAGTCTTGCTGAACCTCGTCTCAAATTCCTCAATGGGTAAACATTTGGTCGCATCTTCGATCTTCTCCCAGATCGATCCAGCAGCCTTGATGTCAGATCCTAGCAAGAGCCTCCTCCACCACAGGGGTTTCATTGCTTTTGTCGGGCTGATCTCAGGCTTTGTCGTGGAGCTCGAGCTTCCCTTTCCTTTGCCTTTGGGCCCTTTGACCGCACTGGCATCTGACTTCGGCCCCTTGGCACCCTTGCCACCTTTGCCTTTGGCGTCCATCAGAGCTGCAGATTATCTCTGGGCACCACTTCCCTACATGGCTCGAAGAGGCATGGATGTCCGATAGAACATTTGATGAGAAAAAAGGTGTGTCAGACCTAGGCTCTGTGCGAAAGCTTACGGTACAATCATGTACAATCCATGTCTTGATTCTATGTGCAGGGCGAACTAGGCTCATCGATGTGTTTGCGAAAAGGCTTTGGGATCATCTGCTTGAAAGTAAGTAATGGCTATTCCATTGCCAGGCACATCACCAGTAGCTGATTCCTTCACATCCTTTCCACAAGTAGCTGAGCAGGGTGGCCCTGCATCTGTCATCCAAATTTTAAATGTATTTAGGGGAGTCTCCCATGGAGGAGCGCTTCGCCATCGGTTCATTCGAGTGATATTGACGGATTGCTTTCCAGGTTGCCACTCAGTGCGCTACCTGGGTGGGATGCTCACCACCCCTGCATCAGCATCACAAAGGACCACACCCTGCCTGTCGGTGCGGCCACGAATTGTCAGGTGGCCGAGTCAAGAAAGGCGAGCGAGACATCTGTTCAATTCATATTTTTGGACTTTTAGACCTAATCTAGTGATACCGGCGTGGTGTCAAAACCAAGCAAAGCCCCAAACCAATAATTGCTGGAGCTGCTCCACCTTTTTCACGGGGCAACCAAGGCATGAGTCATGAGTGAGGGTCTTGAACTATAGCCTTCTGTGCTACGAGTGCGGGCCTTTTCTGACAGGGATGCAGGGATTGGCACATGAGAAAAAAAAACACACAAAAAAACGGCCCAAACATCCAAACCCTTGACCGTTTTTTTTTGTGTGTAAAGTCTCAAAGTCACGGCCCTGAACATTTCCGCACGGCATTTTGCGGGCACCTGGCTGACGTAGTGCCCAACATCCCACGTGGGGTGAACCTGAGCTGCACAACTGCACATCGTCTTCCCCCGAAGTTGAGCTGGCATCGTCTGAAAAATAATTGAGAAAGGTCATGGAAGGCTTGGAGAGTGAACTTCCTGTGCTCTCCCTGCTTACACCTGAGGGAATCATTTGTTGGCAAATGCCTTCGCATTTTAGCTTGCAAGCGAAGTCTTGACGGCCTGAAGACCCTCAAGCAGTGCAAGCAAGCCAGCATCCGGCAAGGTGGATGCAAATCGATCAGGCGAGGTGTTTGAAAAGAAGCATTCAAGGTCAATAATAGTCATCAATCATTATATAATCTATCTTCAAGCAATGTTCTCCGATTGTCACCAAGAAAAGCTCAATGTGATGTAAGTGTCAGCATCTTCAGAATGCCGTAGGATGTCGTTAGCCTCAATTACAGTCACAAGTCACGAAAGAATGTCACGGCCAAGCTCAAGCTCGGTATATCTCAGCTACACCTGGCCTGATTGCACAGTGCTAAATGGAGCATTTCTGCACAAAACAGAACAAAGACAATTCAGACGATGCTGCAAGCATCACATCGGCGAATAAGGCTACGCCTTAAATATCTCAAATGGCCGGCTACCGCATTCAATTAGTGGGATGCCCACTGATAAATTTCGGGCGACCCATATTGGGGATGTCAGAGCGCGAGCCAACCTGCGACTGAAGGAGCGGACCTTTCCGTCGATACCTTTGTGACTTTGACATTCCTACCGGAGAATGCTCTAGGTTCCTCTGAGACATCACCTGATCTGATTCCAAGTTGACCTCTCAAACCACCCTGCAATACCCTACGACCCTGCTCGATATGCAATCCATTCTAAACGCCATGTGACCCAAGTGCCCCTCCTGCAATGCCTTCGCCACGCTTTAGTCGGCTTGCCCGGCCTTGCTGGCTGGAAGCTCTCCGGTTTCCATATTGCGAGATTCACAATGCAATGAATGTACCTGAAGTCTGAGCCTTTGACATCTTGTGGTTTAATGTCCGCAAAAAAAATTAAAAAAAAAAAAAAACAAACTTGCAAACATTTGTATACAAATTTACAAACTATGCAATTCTAAAATGCAGAAACTCCAGAAGCCTCTTCAAGTCTCCAAACCGTTTGTGTTGTCTTGACTCCGCCGTTCTGCGCCTCCCGATCCGGACGCTTGGCCAACAGTTTGGTCGTCTCAGTGGGGTCCTGGATCTTCCAAGCAAATTCACACAAATGCCGCATGGCCGTATGGGAAAGCAAATGGCAACGTGGAGATTCTTGTCACTAAGTCACTTCATCATGCTGGTAAAGCTGGTAAACCAGTTAAACACGCATCACGGCAATTGCAGGGGATGTTGTCTTTGTTTTCTACCAATCATGACAGCGCTGCCGTGGAGCATGCAAACTTTCCTCAGAAAGAATGCTCACTCACAGGCCCCCACCGACGCCAACGCACGCGTCAGTTGTCGACACATGAGTGACCTTGCTAGCGACTCTTGACAGTCTGATCTCGGGCATCAATCAGAGCCCTCAACTTCATTTCACACTGTTCTTTGCCTTCACATCCGTACCGGTAGCCGAAGCTAGCCAGCCTAATACTATTGGTTGCTTCCTCCCCCCTCACCAAGGCCATAGCCCCATTTGATCATCAGTTTCTCCACATCCTCGCTCGTGCCGTCACCATTTTGGTGCTGCAAGGGCTCAGCATCGAAGGTGACGTCAGACAACCTTTTCCAATCAAAATGTCTTCCAGGAGACGCGTAGCGGTTGGGGGGGCATGCAAACCTCCGCCAGCCCGAGGATGTTCCAGGGCTTGATCTGATAGGCCTCGCCAAGTCTCCCGTCACGAACAAACCGTTGTTTTCAACAGGCTGAACTGACAGAGCGACACAAAACACACCTCTATAATCCTCTATATAGACCCTAAACTTTGACGCCCAACATCGTCCAACCACGAGCTGTTTCAGAAATCAGGGAAAAGCAGTTGGGACGGCAATCTCCATACCATGTACCTTTTCAATCACCCTGCTCAAGCCCAGCCTTCTGTAGATCACTGATAAACTCCACAAGTGTCTTGTACTGCTGATCAGTGAAGTGGCTTTGGTGATCTTCATCCTGATCTTTGTCTCCATCCCCTTCCAAAGCCACTGAAATAGAATAATAGTGGACTTCGCTCAGCGTGCCGACGCCAGGGAACGAATACGTGGGTGGAACCCCATGCCAGCATGCCGGATTGCCCCACCAGGCACACAGCTCCGCCTTGACAAATTCCTTCAGTTGGCCATCCTTGGTGATGACATAGTTCGGCCCCATGCCTTCAGGGTGATACTTGAGTCTTGAGGTTTGAGATTATCTTGAGTACAAGTTCGAGGCTGATTATTGAGTTCTGAAGCTTGCGCCCCTTGGGGGCTCGCATTTACCTCAATCCGACGAAGCCTGGCCTGACTTTTCGAACAGTTCAATCTGCGCATCCAGATCCCTTCCCTCGGTGCAACCAATGAGGACCAGCTCTGGCTTCTCAATGGGTGTCTTTGTCACCCGGTTGATTCGCCCACGGGTCGGCGCACGGATGTCACGAGGTCTGTCTTCAGCACGCTGTGCCGGAGCAACATCAAAGTGGCTGTAGTGTTTCTGAAACTGATGAATCCTTTGGTTCACCCTCGCTTCTTCACCTTCTTCAATGGGCAAGTTGACGCTCACTCTACCGTCTGTTGGTGCAGTAGCGATTGAAGTGTTCGCAGTCTCAGTGTTCTGGGTCGATCTTTCAAGCTGGTCGTGCCACTCTGACACAATCTTTTCAGCATTCAGACAGGCCTCCCAGAGCTTCTGGAGCGCAGTGGGCTCATCCGGCTCATGCTTTGCCAAAGCAATGCACGCGGCTTTGAGGCGGTCCACAAATATACGAAACTGGTAGTTCGGATCCACCGGGTCATTCAGCAGCTCCGGATTCGCAGTCTCACGGGGCACGTGCAGTTGCACCACTGTCTTTAGTTCGTCAATGACGATTTGGAACAACTGCAGCCAAATGACCTGCTCACGTCCCTGTGGCTGCACCTGCTGAAAACGGTCCACTAATCTTCCGAAGACTTCTGATTGATGCATCATTTTTTTGCAAATTCACACATGCCATGGCTCTTCGCTCCAAGGCTCTTGCCGTGCCCTGACTTGAGCCGCCCTTGCAAACTGAAACGTGCAAAAAGCAACATGCTAACGAAGCAACACTTATAGACAAGAATTGAGGTTGAACGGTTGGAACTTGAACTGTCCTCCTGTTCACATGAAAGTGAGACCAAGCCGACTGAGCTGGCCTTCGCCAGCTCCGGGACATCGCTGTCGCTGGCAGCATCCTGCTCCTGACAACACAACTGCCGCACCTGATTTTGCTTGGAGTCCGTGTCGATCGGACCATTGCTTGTCATAACATAAGGGTTACATTCTCATCAGCCTCCCTGAGTCCTCATGCTGCCTCATCTTGTCCCGAGGATATGTACAGAACAGCCTGGGCCGCAGGGCAAGCTCGTAGGACAACGGCATTTTCAGCTGTGCAGGGTTTGTGTTGGGCCTGTCTTAGAGGCAAATTCTGATTTCGTCTGAAGTCAAGGGACATTGAGAAGAAGATAGCAGAGATGATGCAAGGCACGGTGCAGGAGATACACAAGGACTTGCCCAGAGCCTGCCACAGGTGGCAACACAAAAGGGAAATCGTGGGCCCGTGGGTACATTACAATGTGTGTGCGACATACATAACATATTGACCGATAATTGACCCTTGATTGTGCGAACATGTGTGCACAATGCGTGTCCTTGTCTCAAGCAGCTCTGATTCTTGCAAGTCATTTGGGGCAAGGTTCAAGGTTCATGGCACGAAATACGGCACCTCTGCATTGCGTTCACGCATTGCAGGAGACATCGTCTCCTGAGACACGAATCTATCATTGGCCCCCGCCAACAGGATCTCCCCAATGGGCCAGCACCCAGTGCGAGTCAATGTTTCTGGTTGAACATGGTTGAACTATGCTGAACTAATGGATGTCGAGCATCAATGCCCTCGGAGCTGAGCTTGTACTTGAAGAAGTGTTGGGCTGTGAAGCCTTCAAGGCACGATGCTGGGCTCCAGTGAGTGAGTGACTCAATAGCAGAGGCTGTAGCAACATGTAGCAACTGAGCTCAGAGCCGACAAAGGTTGGGCCAATCATATTTCCACTGGTGAAGACGATCCCCACCTGAGCCAAGCCGGATCAAAGTCCAAGATCCAAGATCTAGAAACTATACAAATGGTATGAACCCAAATGCCTCAAACCAGATCTACATGTGGTTGGGAGGTCAGGGGTGGATCACGTCTTGTGATGCCTTGGAACACAACCCACTAAACTAAGCTACCTTAGATCCGGGCATTCCAAGCGAAGGCTGAGGCCAATTGTCGACGAGGCATGACATCAATCCTCATCTCCCATGGCAAACCCCCCAAACAAAACACACAAAAATTTCAGAATGATTCATTCAAATCCATGGCATCCAGGCTGATTCACCCAGAAGGCCTGAGGCGCTGGCAAGACCGGGTTTAAGCAGCCCGACACCTCCCAGCTAGAGATGATCCCTGCAAAAAAGAGCAGCCCTGCAAGCAGGACCTCGCAGCTGAGCATCTCAGCACTCCAAATAGTTAGGACTGACTGCGCTGGAACGGCTACCGGACCTGATTAAGGTCATACGGCATATGCGTGGCCTGCATTTTTTGCTCACATGTTGGGCCAATCCGAAACAGCCACTTTCTTCAAGCCAAGCGTCCTGTCCATTTGCATTCGGCCCAACCTTTGCTGCGCTTCGAGCAAACGACTGCGCAACTATGCCTACCCTGTTGAGTGCCTCAGGACCTCACGGCTGCCAATCTAAACCAAAGGGAGTGTGTGTGTAAGCCGCCATCACACACGGATGAATTGAAATCACAGACGTGTGGTGCTGATGAGACCGGTGCTAACAAAAACATGAACCTAGCACCAATGGTGGGGACCAGGGTCCCCCAGTTGTTTTATTTCTGTATATTAAATAGGTGTCCCTCAGTTATCGAAAAACATAATTAAATAAGAACTCAATGAGTTCAAACATGAATCCACTGAGGTCCAGCCAACTCAATGAGCTGCCATTGAGCTGCCATTTAATTAATTAAAGTAATAACCCAAAACATACACTTTAATTTTCTAAACTAAATGATGTGTAGTGAGAAGGGACAAATTGCTATTTAATTTTCTTGTTTAAAATAAACCAGATTAAACCAGATATCAGCTCCTTTGATTTAATTTTGAAAATAAATTGTCCTTTGGTGGGAGTTCTGAATTACCATTGGTTTAAATACTTGGCTGAATGATGCACAAACTAAACAAAGGGTAGTCCAACCCAAGCAACCGGCTATATATATATATATATAATTTCTTGACCTGGCCACTTGAAGACCCAGATTGTCCTATGTTTGATTTTTTTCTTAATGTAGTAGCCTTGAACCTCACAGCAAAGGCCTCCACCTAGCTAATAGTAATGGCCTCCAACCTAATAGCGACGGCCCCCACCTAGTACAGTAGTTTCTTGCTACTTTAGTTGTTTGTGTTTTTACGCCAGGAAACCACGTAAATACCGATGGTTTTGAGCTATCGGGTGCTCAAAACCACGGTATGAACGTGCCTTGTTGGCAGCATTGGGTGTGCCACCACTGGGCCAAACAAAAATTCTGCCTGTGGGAGATGTCCACCCCACCCCATTTATCTTCGGGAAGGGCCAAAACCACCAAGAGTCTTCGAGAACCCTTCATGGAATTTCATGGAACCATGAAAATGCCAAAGGGCCAAAAAGACACCAAGGACCCAATTCTGATGTGGCTGACGCTGGCAAGGACAGTAAATTCATTGCAGGTGAACGCGCCTTGTTGGCGGCATTTGGTGTGCCACCACTGGACAAAAATTAATTCTGCTGTGGGAGATGGCCACCCCACCCCAGTTATTTTTGGGAAGGGCCGAAGCCACCAAGAGTCTCTTGAGAACCCTTCATGGAATTTCATGGAACCATGAAAATGCCAAAGGGCCACAAAGACACCAAGGACCCAATTCTGATGTGGTTGACGCTGGCAAGGACAGCGAATTCACTGTACACATCAAACGCTACATTGCGCACTGTTTTGTCTTTTCTTCAGCGATTGTTTTCAAGTTTCGTCTTGCTTTCTTGCCTCGAAAAGGGCGAACAACCGCCACAACATACCACACGTCATGCGACGCGATTGATTTAATTTTCCAGCTTCGCGTAATTAAATGGTGAAAATTAAACTGGAGGTCAGGGCGTGCCTTATTTAATTTACACACCGCAAGGAGTATACAAAAACGCTCATCAGTTACCTGTGATACAGTTGGAGACGTCCAACTGCATACCTGCAGGTTGATATCGCTGAGTTTTTCTCAAGCTGTGACCCTCCTTTTATCCAGGCTGTTGCAGGTATATGAGCATTGACCTGTCTTTGTAGTTCCCGACGATGTCACTCACATACACGATTGTTCCAAGGCCGTGGACTCAAGAGGTTCTCGGCTTTGACACCGTTCCACCGTTCCACCACCAAACAACTCTTCCCAGTGTGAATAGGGTGCATGCCAGATGTGGCGACACCGTCGAGTGCCCGACTGGTGATCTAAAGATGGCAGGGGCCTTCCCCGATGAAGTCAGGATGAAACCCACGTAGAGGCTTCATCGAACACTCCTCGCCAAAAGGGGCGTGTACGAGCTGCCATCGAGCACAAGTTCTTATGAGCCGTTCTGTTCTTGAGCTGGCCTCGGGCACAGTTGCCAGCGGCGAAGTTAGCTAAAGAGAGCGAAGTTCCTTCAGGAGCATTTGCCCGCCAGTTAGCTCCTGCGGAAACTACGTGTGGGGTTGCCCACTGTCCTGGGTGCGTGGCGCACTTTACAAGCAAACCAGGCGTTTACAACAGGTCCTTTAATGAGGTTCGGCTACTCGTCGGTTTGTCCCCTTTCATTTGTCTTCCCTTTCATGGGCCCACACAGACACACTGTTTCCTCTTTTTCTTTCATGTCCTGTCTGTCTTCATGTCATGTCATCTTCACTCTTTCTTTTCCTCTCGCCCGAACCTTTTTCAACAAACTTGACATAGGTGCCCCAGGTCCTTTCCGGCTTTGGCTTCCAACCTTCTAGCGATGACCTCCAACGTTGCAGTTTTGAGTTTTGCTTCTTGAAGCTCTGACCCCTCCGTAGAGAGGGCCTTGTATGTGTGTACACCGCTATCACACGCGGAGGAGTTGAACTCACGGACGTCTAAATTTGCTTCCAGTC